TTAAGCTCACCTAGCAAGTCCAATGTCAGCTCACCTATAAGAAGATTGTCTTTAATTAAAGACTGATTAATTATCTACTGATAGCCTAACCTTCATTAGTGTGATCTCCAGATTAACCAAGCTAATTAGCCATGGCTGGAGGGACTGGGTTATTCAATACCTAAGATTTCAATGGGCAGCACCATTAGCACTGATCGCATGAGTCAATGTCATCTATTCCTCACCCCCTGCAACTCTCTCTGGAAGCAAACCCTCGTGCCTGCCGAGGGACTGCTGTTTAGCAGGAAAACAACTAAAGAAAATTCTGTCTTCAAAACCCCTCCATTCTAGTCTCTCAGATCTGTGCCTTTATACAGCCATTATTGCTTCAGATTTATTCAAGCTGACCCAAAACACAAATGCTTTGATTAGGTTAACTTCCAGAATCCTTACAGGAAGAAGGGAGTCTAGGAATAGTATGTCCTTGTGTCTGCTATTTCATGAGTGTTATGATAATTTAACGTAATAACAACAAAATCAGTATTCTTATCCTCCTTTTCACTGTGCTTCTGCCAACCATTGACTTTGCCCTGCTGACCCACCACAATTATCTTAGTGTTGGAAATCACACAAAGTTCCATTACTTCCATGAGACTCATAGCCAAGAAGGAATGATCGGGGGAGCCACCTCACTGTTGCTGTATACTGAATTAGGGTTCCTGGTCAGGAGAACAGACAGCACGAACAGCTAAATGATGAGATGGATATAGGAGACTGGGAAAATATGCCCAAATAGGAAATAAAACAAACACACAACCAGCCAACAAGAATTGCTTGAGTACTTATTTGTGCTTTGGTCCGTGTTAGGTGGTTTAGGGGACAATAGGTTTATAACTTATCCTTGCCAGCAACTCGAGACACCTAAGAAAATTGATATCTCTTCAACTTAGATTCTGATTCCTTCAGAGGTACCACATGACGGCCTAATGGTGAGGCTTGTGGACTCTAATGCCAGCTACCTAGGCTCAAATCCTGCTGAGTTCTATAAGATGTGTGATTTGGGGCAAGTTACTTAGACTCCCTATGCCTGTTTTCTCATTGGTAAATGTTAGATAATAATAATGGCACCTACCTCAGAGAAATTATATAAGGATTAAATGTCTTAATACACATAGCAAGCCTAAACAGTACTTGGCACCTACTAAATGATTGATCTAGAGTAGCAGTTATGGTTATTTATTGTAGAAGGACAACATTATCCTACTTCCTGTGGTAATGCTGAAAGGTGGCGTCTCAGACAAGATCTGCATGTCTCTCCATCAACCACAATAACTGCCATTTGGTGAGAACTTACAATGCACCAGAGATCACAGTAAGCCCTTCCAGATGAGGAAGCGAGGCCCTGAAAAGCTGATGCCGCATCTAGTGTCTTCCAGGTGGCAGGTGCCAGGAGTTTGCTGTTACACATAGGCACTGTTAGAAAGCTTTTTATTCTTAAACATCTGGATGAACGGAGCATAGAAAAATGTAATTTCTGCAGCAACTGTAATTCTAATAGTATCTGGATAATGGAAACAGGGGGCCTAATTCAAGGTCATATGTCTCACTACCGCCCTGCAAATCTCTCCTGCTTAATGCCATCATCTATGAAGTTTTTACCTAAATGTATTTCTTTAACTCACTTTTGTCCTCAGCCTCTGCTGCCTGCTGGGGTGGTGGTGAAGATGGCAGATTGGAGGAGAGAAGGAATGACTTAAAAAAAAAATTGGCTGAGCTTAAAGAGGGCAGGTTTTAGGAAAAGCATGAAATCTATTATATCTAACTAGAAGCCCAGCGCACAAAATCGCTCAGCCCCGCCCACCCGTGCCAGTCTTTGGTCGTTACAGCGTTAGGGCCACTGGGCTTTTATAATATAGATAAGAATTGGATAGGAACCTCGGGCCTTCTCAGGGGACTTGTCTTTTCGTTCACTCTGCGGAACATGCATGGATGGAGTGTCTTCTTTGTCCCAAGAACCATACTGGACACCAGGGAGTCAAGAAGTGCCAGAATTCCCACTCTGCACTGAAAGGCAGACTGTGCCTGTGATGCCACTGATCTTGAAGCAACAGAAAGGGAAGGATCCTTCCTGAGGCCAGAGCAAAAGGAGAGGGGCCAACTGGATCAAGCGTCGGTGTCCATGGTGTGGTTTTAACATTGGGCAGGCTTGAGTTCCACCCGGCTTGGCCACTGATAGGGGAAAGACTTTTATAGAGCAGACACAAAAGCAATGCAAGAAAACTGCTGGATTGGCTATAGCTTTAAGCCATTGCCTAATTTTGGAAAGCCTAGTTCATTGTGATTGGTTGTTTTTAAATTCCCTTTTTTTCCGGATACAAGTGCATTTACAATCGACTCTGGCTTGGGTCTCAGTTTGCTTGCATAGGCTACCAAGGCATTAGAACCAGCAGAGACTGATGGCCTCCTTGTTTGGTCACTGTAACAAGTGTCACAGGCCAGCACAAGGTAATAAAGAGCATAAGAGTTCTCAACACATGCCAGGTGTGAACTCATTTAATTCACCCAACAGCCCTAGGAGAGATGTATTCCTTTTCTTCATTTTTAGAAGAGGGAACTGGAATGCAAGGATGTTAAATAAACAAACTTCCCAGTCTCACCCAGTTAGCAAATGGCAAGGCAGGGATTCGAACTTAAGAAGTCTCCCCCCGGAATCTGGTCTTAGTCGCCAGTAGCTCTCATAAGCCTAGTGTTACCTGCCATTACTGTGTGGCTGAGACACCAGAAGGAGGGTCCGCTGGAGATTCTAAAATGCTCCATTTCTTCTGCCCACCTCCTCCCTGTCCCCAATCCCCATCTTTGATTGACATTCATAATACAAGTTTTTTACAAGCTTAGTGTTTGATATCATCCAAGATCTCCACTCCAATCAAATTTAGGTTCCGTATGGTAATTAGACTTAATTAGAGTCAAATCCCTCTTTTATTTTGGTTTTATCTTAATCACCCCTTCCCTCCACTGTCCACAGGCCTGTAATTTCCCAGACTCAGAGTTGCCGTATACATTCAGACCCACGAGACAGTTTGTTGTCATACACATTCAATGCCAGAAAACTTTTCACTCTGAAACTTTTCAGCCACGACAGTGTAGAAAAAAGTATAATTTCTCCAAAAGACTCTTTTCTAAAAACAATGGAAGAATGTTTTCCTTGTACATCTCTCTACTGAGAAGAATGCTTACGTGCATGCACAGTACAAACATGAGAAGCATTTCAGAAGCCTGTGACAAGATGGGAAGATGCCCAACAACAGTGATGTCCACTCAGACCATCAGGGTCCCCGAGACACAGAGGAGGAAGAGGCAGATCACAGAATTTTCCAGCTAATCTAGTTCTTTCTCAAAGGCCATCTAATCTAGTTCATTGCAAATTCTTTTAAGTACAAATTCTTTTGTTCAAATGAAATCTCATCCTGAAGATTTGTATAAAAGATGAGATGCTCTTATTGAAGCAGGGAGGAGAGGCCTAGAGCCTAATCCACTCCACTCCCATCCTCACCCCCCCGCCATCCCCCCCCCCCCCCGCCCAAAAGCCCTGATGGGGGCTCTGGGGAACCTCTGGGGGTTCCTTGGAGCACAGTTTGAAAATCACTATTCTTATCCAACCTCCTCCTTTTATCACTGGGGAAAATGAAGCCCAGAGAAGCTACGTGACTTGGCTGAGGTTACACAGCAAGTCAGCAGCCTAGGCTGCTATCTTCCTTCAACTATTTTTCCATGATGACACCTGAGTTCTTAGATGAACTACCTTTTGTTTCTCCGGACTGTACGTGTTTTTGTATTTGTATGTTTGTCCCGGCGCCCAGTGTTCCAAAGAAAACCTAACAAACCAGTCCCCAATTTTACTCTAAAGCTTAGAGTCTGCACGTCGGACACATGTCTTGGCTGCCCGAGAGAGCTGGAAGCCCAGAGCAGAAAGGCATAGGGTCATAAATGCTGTCCCGTAGCTGACCAGGGACATTATTTCACAGCCTAAATTAGGTGGGGTTTCTACTCTCTCAGGGAAATCCCCCAAATCAGGTCGTCCTTAGCTAGACACCTGAGAGCTGGCATCCAAGCCAGATCCCACCTCGTGACACCAGACTGGCTCCCTAAATCTCTTCGGTTCTCCATCGGTAAGGCGGGGAGCATGGGGGGGGGGGAACGCGGGGTTGGAGCGAGGGAGAAAGCCATCACGTGGCTCATCACATCCAGAGATGTTAGAAGTTGAATAAGTTCATGTGTCCAATGCCCTGTTGATGAGTGAAAAAGTGGAAGAAAGACCCAACAATGGTTCTGCAAGCTGGTTCCCCTCGCCTGGTCCAAAGGCACGGATTGGAGGACATGGTAGAGAAGGGGTCCTGTGCTCCACCTAGGGAAAGGCGATGATCATCATCGCTAATAAAGAGCTTATTCGGGGCTTCACCTGCATTACCTGCTGTGACCCTCAGAGCAGCCCAGTGGGTAGTACTATTCTTTGCACCAGAGTGATGAGGCTCAGACAGGCTGATTAAGTTATCCACGGCGACACAGCTAGAAAATGGTGCACCTAGACTTTGAATCCAAAGCCATCTAGCTGCGGAGCCTGTGTTCTTAACCACTGCCCCATCCTGCCCTTCCTCCTGGCCACACAAGGGAAAAGGAAAATGAACTCCTACTCAAAAGCGCGAGACTCCACCAAACCAGGGGGAAGGCTGGCTGCCTCTGAGAGCTCCCCCTACGGCTTGCACGAGTGAGAATCCCCAGCCAACGCAGGGCTGGGCAGAGCACAGAGGCAAGAATTCTGGGCTTGTTTACTGAATTCCCTGGACCACGAGGGAGGGTGGTGAGCTGGGCACAAAAGCAGGATAAAGGTAAACTTTCTGCACGTGAGAACCATCCCTCCGCCCCCCCCCCCCCCAGGAGCCGTGTCACACTGTATGTCATCGTCATCAAAGGGGCTGTGCGTAAACCTGAAAAACCAAACGGACCTGTCTGTAGGTGTTACTTATATCACAAGGCTACAGGTGCCTTTATTTCCACCGGGCGCTGGTGCCGGGAGCACCTGCCTTCTCTTGCCTTGAAAGCCTCCTCTTTGGACCTAGTCAGCGCTGCCCTCACGTAAGCACCCTTTCTTTGCTTTTTTGGATGAATTGTAAGGGGTGTCAGGGCTTAGAGGCTGGGGCTGGGGGCCCGGGTCGGTGGGTCGGTCTCCAGCTCCAGGTTGCCAGCTCCCCTGCAGGTTCCATCAGTCACAGTGCCTCCCGGGAGCTGTGTGACTGGGATTTAACTGCTTGCCTGGGGCGGGGGGGACACTTCTGCCCCCACAGGTTGTGGAGCCACCCACCCCCTTCTCCACAGCCCCCAAACCCCCAGGATCACTTGACTACACCAAGGGGAACCAAGAGAATGCAGACAGGCACTCACTGCCCTACGCCTCCTAAAGCTATCTTTAGGAAGGAAGGCTGGGTTTTACACCCCAAAATATTCAGCTTCAAGGAGAGCCCACCTTCCGCTGGCCAAACTCCTCCTTTCCCCATTGGCCAGCTCAGAGTTCCCTCTTGATACAGAGAAAATACGCTGCCTTATTACAATTTGGGGAATATTTTTTCAGGAATTCATGTGTATGTAACAGCTTAAAAGAAACCCATTTTGCCCTCTCACGCCACCTTCGTATGTAGAGAATCTTTCCAGAAAAGCAGTGATTAGGGTTTTTCCACTGTATTCTCAGACCTTCAGACTGCGGTGTGTGAGGGTTCTTGTTCTTTCGCCCCCTGCTGGCGGCCACTGGTGGCACATGCTCCCCTCTCTAACTGAAGGCTGGGGACCGACCTTTAATTGTGCTAAGAATTTTACAAACCAGAAAGGATGTCGGAGACCCTAAGGTACAACCTCTTCGTTCTACAGATGGGGAAACTGAGGCCTAGACAGTTAGCGTGTTTTAGAGAGACAGCTTCGTGTTTTAGTCTAGAGGCCCCGTGGAGAGGGGCGGTTCGCCCCGCAGAGTGAAGGCTTAACTCTGTGCCCTCGTGTTCTCCGCGACAATGTTTTTCGTGATTCAGGGTGTTCTCCACAGGAGTGGGTGCAGTTTGGCTGTCTGCTTTTCTCACAAGTCCCCTGTATAACAACCTTTTAGATGCATTGATGACGACTGATTCCGCCGCCCCCCCCCACCACCACCACCCCTCCTCCCGGCCTCTGTAAATGAATATATGTGTTGTGTTCAGGGAATATATGCGTTGTGTCCTCTGCATATTTTACTAATTTAATTAAATCCTCAGGAAAGCCTGAGGATCCCATTTTAGAGATGAGCTCAGAGAGGGTCGTGGATTTGTATGCACCACACCTCATATGAAACAAAAATCATTTTGGCTGGCTGAGCCCTAAGACGTGAGTCCCATGTTTCTTTGCTTGTGGGGACAGAGGTAAGATCGAACCCCACCATGGGTTTGATCCAAAACCAACGAGCTTCGCATTGGAGCCCCTCGTAAACCATACGGCAGACCTTCTATGGGTCTCAGCTGCACCTTCAGAAAAACAACCAAACACCAACCCACTGGCGAACTCCCTGAGCAAGCCGGAGGAAAACGCGGACTTTGGCACGATGTCAGCAAGGCAGTTCTCAGCCGCTCTGGTTTCTCCCAGAAGAGCAAACACTCAACCACCCCACCCACGATCCTTTAATAGAAAGTGTCGTAACAGTCCATTGGGTTTCCCTTCATGGGTCCCTTCTTGGGGGCATCCGAAGAGGGGGAAATGGACCTGCCGGGCCCGCAGGGCTGGGGACCCGGTGAGCGTTCAGGTGTCACTGAAGCATCGAAGGAGGAAAACAATTTTGCTTCCCGATGAGACTGCTCAGAGGATGGGCTCAGCGAAGGCCCTTCATGGCCCCCTTTCCCATGGGCTATATCCCGACGGCCTGGTTCTGCCCGGTGATGTTTTGGTGCATAAACAGCCAATGCGTCGATGCTTAAGTGGGTAAAATTTTTGGTCACATGCCCAGAGTGAAGTTGATGATCTCTGCCAGGGTCAGGCAGGAATTTTCCTCCTCTGACAAACTGGCCAAGGCTGGGTGGTTTGCTCCTTCCCCTCTCGCTCCGGAAGGCTGGGCAGAGGTGCTGGTTGCGCAGGCCATGGGCACCGCACCTGCCGCTGCTGCCTCGGACTCGTGCAGGGCGAGAAGCCCACAGGCCTGTCCCTCTGGCTGCGCGGACCCTCCCTGGGCGCACGTGGTGAGTGAGCCGGCTCTCAGGAGGGCGAGGAAGCCCCTAGAGTCAGCGGGGACTTCAGCCTCCATGCCTTCAAGGTCTCACTTTGAAAGGTACCTCCGGCCAGCCTTCCTTGTGCCTGGCAGGGAACCACCCCTGTGTGGATGTGTTTGAACCTTCTCTACTTACTTCCGAGGCAGCCAGCATGGGGACAACATGTGGGGGGAACGGACTCTCACAGCTGTGGGTCTGCTGACGGGCAGTAAGTGAGGGGCCTCCGTGTGTTCAGGTAGCAGAAGAGGAACTGAGGCTTGGAGAGGTGCAAGAGGCATAATCATGACTCCCAGCCCAGTGCTCTCTCCAAGATCTTACGGCCACCAGCCTCTCCGAGAACAAACATGTGTGGCGGGGGCAGCAGGCCCAGGACCCGCCCTGTATACCCTCCTTGTCGGGCTGCAGACTCTAAGTCTAGCGCAGTGCTGCTCAACCTTTTTTTTTTTCTTTTTTTTCGTTATTGCCCCCATTAAGGAGCTTTTTGAGATAATTTTTCTTAGTCGTCTCCCCCCTCCATGAAATGTTAATTCCACAGAAATGCTGTAAGTCATTAATATGCTGTGGCCCTTTGGAGGCTCATGAAACATAATAACATCGAAGATTTTTTTACACCAACCCCCCCCCTTCCATGGACCAAATTTTTCCCCTCTGGGGTCAATGTCACCCCCCTGTTGGGGATGTATGGGCTACCTTCAGGCCGGGGCCTACCTGTCACTGGGCCTCAAGGTCCTCACTGAGAAATGGGGCTCCAAAATGTTGTGGGTTCGATTCCCCATCAGGATACCTGCCTAGGTTGTGGGTTCTATCCCTAGTCAGGGTGTACATGGGAGGCAACTGATCAATATTTCTCTCTCACATCGATGTGTCCCTCTCTTCCTTTCTCTTTCTCTCTCTCCATCTCTCCCTTTCTCCTTCTCTCTCTTTTCCTTCCTCTCTCTCAGTAAAATCAATAAACATATACTTGAGTGACGATTTTAAAAATCCTAAAAAAAAAAAAAAAAGAAATCTTAAGAGCTAAAATGCTCAATTACCGCAGGGACCCTAGAGGGCCTAGGAAGCTGAGCTACCGGGCACAAAGCAGCCATTATTCCTGAACTCACACCTGGAGCACGCTGGCTAAGGGGCCAAGGTCTTTTGTGGAGAGCCCAGAGTTAATAAAACCCTCTCCTAAAACAAACAACTTCTGCTGCTTTTATAAAAGGCATTTTCCCCCAAAGTAAGAAAAGATTACAGAAGAAAAATAGCACAGTGTTCACGTGAGAGGGCCCTTTAAGGAAACTTAAAGGATGTAATTAGCCATAGAAGGAATTACCAAAGGGAATCAGATACAGCCCTGTGTCCAAAACTAGGGAAATTACAGAGCAAGTGAGTGGACCGGTGTAAGGGGGGGAAATATTTAAAGGAGGTAAATGTCCTATTGATCAAACATAGCCCTAATTTTTATATGACTCAACTGAATTTAATGGTCGACTTTTGAGAGCTGTTTGTCAGGTGTAGATGGACCGCTCACTCCTACTGTCGTATTTTGTAGCTGGAGGGTTTCTAACTGACTTTGCAGACCTGGGGATGGTTTTCTATGTTCTTCTATGTGGAGCCCATCTGGCCTTTCCCTGAGCCCACCTGGCCTTTCTCCGAGCCCACCTGGCCTTTCTCTGAGCCCACCATGAAGTCAGGTCAGAGGTGTGCCATCCTCTTCCTCGGTTTTCTGAGCCTCTGGCCCAGAAGGGCAGGGGGCCTTTTCCCCTTGAGCCCTCACTTAGGAGAATTCCCCAATGTGGATTCCAGGAAATGGAAGCGGCTTTGGGCTCCGGGGGCTCTTTCCTTTCTCATAACCCCTATCCCTTTTCAGCCTGCCTCCTGTTCAGGTATAAAGCCAGCCAATCCGTGGGAAAATCAGAGTCCGAACGCAGGCAGCCTTGACCTCTGTTTGATATGGCTCCCAGGGGGAGATCCATGAGCACGATAATCCGCCTGCAGCGTTAACCCTCTGTGGGCCTCGGGAAGGAGGTTCCCCATGGGGTCTGGCAACTCTTCGTGGACGGCACAGAAAGGGACCTGCATGTGAGGCTTTGAACTTGGTTGCTTATCTATGTCAGGAGCATAGTTCTCATAAACATTTGGTGGTGGTGATGATGATGATGATGATGATGATAGATTTGCCAACGCCCCCAAAGAATCGGTCTTCGGTTCTGGAACCACACAATCCCTGCCCCTCTCAGTACTGAGGTCCTACTTGGTATGTAAGAATGCGTGGGATGTCCTGAGGGCGACATGACTGTGTTTTTAGAAAGGGAAGCTGATGGGCTGAGAGTTGAGGATTGGAAAACTTAAGAACTCTCTACCTGCAACATAACATTGCCACCGACTGGCCCTGTGACCTGAAGCAAGCGACACAAGCTCCCTGGGCCTTAGCTTTCTCAGTGCTGGAGGACAGGGCGAGGGGAGCGATGCACTAACTCAGTACTTTCCGGCACTCGCAGTACCTTCAGGAGGTGAATCTGGTCGAAGGTAGGCACACGCTCACGTAAAGAAGCAGAGAGTACCTTTTATAGGATTGGTGGGCCAACAGGCAAAATCCAGGCTATTGTGTAAGTACCTACATAGCCCTTTAATACGTAACCATTTAAAAATGTAAAATCATTTTTAGCTGCAGGCCATTCAAAAGCAGGAGGTGAGCTGGATTGGGCCTGCAAGTTGTACTTTGCTAACCTCTGACTCACGTGGTGCATGGATGAACAATTTTTATTTACGTGCTTATGTCTTCATTTTTACGTATGTTCGGGAATAGTGACTTTCTGTGGATAATGGTGATATCAATTTTTCCTTTTAAGTAAACGTGTTTATGTTCAAACAAAAAAGGGGGCAATTTTATTGAATGTATTAAGTAAATTATGGTGATGGGAGACACATGAGTGGCGTCAGGACACACGGGGCTAGATGACTGATAAGCTCCTGCCCATCTTAAAATTCCCTGAGGCCCAGAGCCCAGTCTCTGCTCTGACACTTACCAGCTGTGTGGTCTTGAGCTGCAGGGTCCCCTTCGCAAAATGGGGGTAGAACCCCCCTATCTCATCAACATTACTTCCATAAGAAGAAAAGAGAAGTGGGGCCAACATATATTTTTAATCCACCAAGTACGAATTCTTTTTTGTCTGAATTGTGGGGACGTGGGAAGCAGCAAAGAGAAACTCGAGAGGTGAGACTGGTGGGCAAGAGTGCACGAGAGTGGGGGGCCCCAGACCCATCTCTTCTGCCCCCACCCCAGCCTCTGCCAGTGTGAGCAGGGACGAGAGCACAGCCACCAGGTCTTGACGTCACATACACAAACCTAAGTTGTCACTCAGACTCCACCCTGCCAGCTGGGTGATGTGGGCACGTTCGCTGGAATGTCAGAGAGTCCCCTCCTCATCCGTGATACAGACCCCGCCTCAGAGCTCGCGTTCTGTGGAGCCCGTGAGGACTGGATGGAAGTCCTGACGTACTCAGCCCAGAGTCCAAAGCGATTGTGTGTTACAGTCACTGGTGCTCACTCTCTTACCCAAACCCCCGGGGCTGGGCGTGCTGCAGAACTCACCCTGCTTCAGGCACCAGAAGGTGACGGTGTACACGCAGCAGAAGACAGACCACCCCTCTCCGGGCATTTCTTCTGGCTCAGCTTAACCCCATCGATGTTCCTGCAGCACACCACGTGAATATTCATCAGGCAGAATAACACACTGCAACTAGGGTTACAAAACTATATAGCATATATCTCGTTTATATATGTCTACAGGGTATAGTTTTTATACGTAGTCTGCATATGTATAGTGTATAGTTTATATACATATAGATGTAACATTTATGTAACAGTATATAAAACTACATAAGGTCAATTCAGAACTGTTTTTTTGGTTTTTGCTCAGAAACGTTTGCACCAAAGATACACACACACACACACACACACACACACACACACACTTTTGGTCTCGGAGCTCTGGGGTTTCAGAATTGTAGATAAGGGTGTGCGGGTGCGCTCATTGATAGCAACTCTGGCCGTGTTTCCAGAAGCACATTGTTAGACATTATAAGCCAGAGTTCAGAAGTCAGATGTGAGTGACTAGGAAAAGTGATGAAAGAGGCAGTATTGGCTAATAAGAGCTCCCATCCTCAAATCCCCGTTTTGCCACTTGCGGGCCATATTCTATGGGCAATTGTCTCAATCCTCCTGCCTCAGTGTCCTCATCTAGAAATGGGAACAGATGTACAAACCTCACGGGGTGTGACAAGGCTCAATCGTGGAAAGCACGTAGAGGGGGGCCTGGCTCCCAGGGGGCTGCCGGTTACGAGTCTTTGCTGTCCTTGTTAAGCCACCGGGGCCCGCTGGGGTCCTGCAGTGGCTTCCAGCAGCCACCGCCTCCTCACAGCCTCTCCCACCGTTGCAGGGTGATGTTGGATTCAGTGACACACAGCACCTACCTGCCCAATGCGTCCTTCTGCGACCCCCTGATGTCCTGGACTGACCTGTTTAGCAATGAAGAGTATTATCCTGCCTTCGAGCACCAGACGGGTAGGTACACCTGGGGAGGCCCATCCGAGCTGGGATGGGCTGGGACAGGAGGTGGTGCTGGCCTGGGCTGGTGACAAGACCATGCTAGGGGCCTGGAAATGCCACCCCTCACCCGTGTCCGGGGCAGGAGGCCAGGGGAGGCCTGAGTGGAAGGAAAGAAAGCACTGGAACCTCACCCCGACCTGCCCAGTTCTGTGGCCTTGGGGCTCTGCTCACCTCTCGGAGCCTCATTTTGCTATTAAGTAAAATGCAGGTGATAATACCAATCCCCTGGAGTTATTGTATTTAAACCCTGTAGTAGAAAGGAACCCTTAGCCCGGAGCCTAGTGTATTGCGATTGTTCCAGTCTCGTGGTTCTGGCTAACATTTGCTGAACACTCCCTGCATCAAAGAGAAGCCCTATGAGAAACAAACAAGTGTGATCCCCACTTTCGAGATGAGGAAACTGAGGCACGGAGAGGTTAAGTGACTTTCCCACGGTCTCATGGTCTGTTGGGTTTCATGCACGTTTACTGGAGCAACTGTCGTCTTAACTATCCCACTCGGTCAGCTCGTGAATGACATCACGCTGGGTTGTTGATATTAACCCTGTTGTTCTCTGAGATTCTATCTCCTTTATCCCTGAAGCAGGGGTGATGAGAGTTACTGTAAGGATCAAGAAGCCAAAGTGTGTAAAATGCGTAGCCTGGCACAAGCAAGTGCTCAGCAAATATGAGTCCTGCCGTGGTCCCCCAGGCTGCCCTCCGCACCCTTCCTCCTCTCTCAGCCGGTTTTCCCCACCGGGATGCAAGCATGGGTCCCTGTGCAAATCCCACGCCAAAGGGAGGCCAGCTGAGCTGTGCCCCAGAAACCCTCTAGGGCCTCTGTCCCCAGGTGCTCGGGTGACTGCACCTCACAGCAAACCTGGCTGACTGCTAGCTCGGCAGGTGCACACCCTGCCGGGGAGGGCGGTGACGCAATTGCTGATCAACTGTCAGCCCTCGAAGGTCCTTAACCCTGTGTGCCCCGCCCAGCAGGTCCCCACTCAGGGTCAGGAGACAGGGTCTGGGGAGCTACACTCCCTGAGGGGGGAGCCCAGGGGAGGCCCAGCCTCCGAGGCTGCTATGAAATGTCCACCACCCCAAGGAAGCCCCTGCCTGCAGGCCAGACGCCAGGGCTGCACAGACAGCCTGGAGGCACTTACCTACCTAATTCAGTCCTGCACCCACTCCCAACCCCGGCCCCATGCGCACAAGTGCACCCATGACATCTTGCACCCTCGTCTGCAGGGTCCAGGTCATTGCATTTGAACCTGGTTCACTCGGATACATATTGCAATTCTCCTTTGGGCCTAAGAAGCACCTGGTTTCCCAGAAAGGTGCTGAGAAATGTGTTTGATTTTCTCTCCTCAATATTTGGTTAAGAGGCTAAATTTGAAGGAGGAACACGAAGGCTTTCAGGGCGCTGTGCCCTCCCCACATGTGGCACGATGGTAGGCCAGGTCCCGTCCTTCTCTCACCCACGCATATCGCAGACCTGCCATCCTGGGGGCCCCTCCCCTGCCTATTCTTCAATATGGACGTCTCCGCAGCAGCTTCTATAGTCATTGGAGCCAGGCACCACCTTTACCTCTCACGCCTCAGTTTTCTCATCTGTAAAATGGAGTTGTAATGATGCCTCTCTCACAGACAGTGAAGTGCATGGGACACAGTCGGGCACATGACAAGCATATGTGGTTGTTTAAAAAGGGAGGATGAAAAGGTTCTAGAGATGGAGAGTGGTGATATGGTTGCACACCAATGTGGATGTATTTAATGCCATTAAGCTGCACACTCAGAAAATGGTAGATTTTACATTATGAATATTTTACTGCAATTTAAAAAAAAAAAAAAAGAGTTGACCTAAGTGATCACCAATAGGATTGCCAGTGCTGCTAAGACCCAGCAGTCTTAGATACTGGCTCAGCTCTCTCCTGTCTGAGGACTCTTCATTCCCATCATGCAATGAGGGGTTAGACCAGGTCATTTCTAGGATCCCTTCCAGAAGCTTCTCTGATTCCCGCATCAGGCAGTATCACAGATGTAGCCTTCGTCCTCCGTCACCCATCGAGAGAATAGGAAGGAGGCCGCCAAGGCAGGAGGCCAGTGGAAATGAAACAGCCTCCAGGTGCGGTCCAGCTTCCTGGTGTTCCCCCCCCCCGGGGGAGCAGCCAGCTGCGGAGCTCAGTGGGATGTCAGACCTCCCACAGGCCGAGGCCGGTGGTCCCAGTGAGCGCCTGGCGCTGGGCGAGCCCCATCTGCGGGAGGAGGGCGGAGGGCCAGGGGGTGCTTCCGTCGTGTTCTCACCCAGACAGACGACACGTGGCTTTGAGTGTCTGCACAAGCCCCCACCGAGAGGGATGTGTCAGGAGACAGCCAGCTCCACCTCTGGACACGGCTCTGCAGCCCTTACGTGCTCAGAGGTCATCTCCTGCCTCACGGGAAGTTCATCTTGAATTCAGAGTTGTCCCAGGGGCAGCTTCCTGTTAGCTTCTGCCACTCACCAGCCCGTGGCCCCACGTTTCTCTAACATCGCTATCCCAGCTGGAACAGCATCGGCCTCCCAGAGCTGGGAGAACGAGGACGGCAGATCCCACCCAGCAAGCGTGTAGCATAGCACCTGGCACTGGGTAGGCACTCCCGGCTCATGGAAAAACAGCTTTTTCTCATCTCTCTTCCTTTTTCACGTTGAACAAAAGCAACACCGGTCTCACCCTTTCCAATGCGGAATCTTTGACAGGCTAGATGCTCTGAGACCAAGGGGAGAAAGAAATGGAGTGCCCAGCAGATGGGTGGTGTCCACGAGCGGGCAGGGAGGGACACTCAACCCCGTCGGGAAGCCCGCTGTCTTCACAGCCGCCCCACACGGCTCTAGCAGAGGGCAGCGGGGTCGGTGCTAACCAAAAGGTGACCTGCTCTTTGAAGCAGGACTTCTGGCGTCGCCGGACTGCGGGCTGGGACAGGACAATCAGATTGCAAAATACTTAGAATTTCATGAATGCACCCTGGCCCTCCCTTGGGCTCTTAGAAGAAAAGAATTGCAAAAACTGGAACATTTTATCAAAGGGATGCTGCAAATATTTCACAAGCATAGGATATTTTCAAAAGATCTCTTCTCTAATCAAATTCCAGCGGCCAAGCATCAAACGAGTCATGAAGTCTCCTGAAGTCTCCTGGCCTCACCCCTACGTGCTAGAGCTCCATCCTCAACCTACACACACACATGCACACACACTCTCTCTCCCCCGATTGCCAAGGTGGCCACACCCACATGTGGTGCCCCCTTTGCTCTGGAATCTGGATTATACTCTGCAGCAGAGGTTTCTAGGTTGGGCAGCTCTGGGGGTTCCTGGAAGGTCCCTTGGCAACCTGGAGTGACAGCTGAGAAGACCGGCCTCCAGCTCCTTCCTCTCCATCCCCACCCTCCGGGAAGGCTGCCGTGCTTTCATTCCGAAGACAGTACGGCACAGTGGTTATCAGGGCGTGGCTGCAGGAGCGGGAGGAGACCTCTATGACCTTAGCTCTGCCTCTTGCTCATGTGTGACCTGGAGAAGGGACTTCACCCTTCCGTGCCTTACTTTCCTCATTTAGTTTGTAAAATGGGTGGCAGGATCTCAGACCTCGCAGCATTGTGCTGAGGACAGCATGAGAAAACGCAGAGTGGAGCAGTAATTGGCACATACTGAGCGCTCCACAAACATGTTAGCGATTATGACCCATTGGGAGATTTTATTTGAAGAAAGAACTTTGAAGGAAGGTGCAAAACCCACTGATCTTAGCTATCAGCTTCCTCCCAGGTGATCAGGGAGGAAGGCATTTGGGTTCCACATGGACTTTTCTAAGCAAGATTCAGGTGCTGGGTATAGAAGTTTGAGAGCACATGCGAAAGAAAGAGTAATGATTTCTAAATGAAAAGCAGATAAATAAATACAAAATGCCTGGACACCCCAGAGCACCCCCAGGGGAGGCCTCACGTTCGCCACTGCTCCCCTATCCTACACAAGTCTGAGCCTTCTGGGCAGCCGTGGCCCCGGGACCACTCAGGGCTTGGCGTTCCCCGTCCCCTCCTAACTCCACACACACCTCCGACCACAGCCCTTTGCTGACACCCCACCATCCCTTCTCCTCTTTTCTCCATCCAGGTCCTTACACTGCCCAGGTTTTTGGTTTTTTGTGTATTTTTCCCCCCATCTCCTCATCTAAATCGTTCCACAGGCTTAGAAGGAAAGCCAAGAAGGGCTCTTGGACGGGGCTAGACCAGCTCCGGGAGGAAACCTGGAAGCAATTTATCATTTCAGGTTTCCCCGCAGAAAGTCCTTCCTTTCGGTGACAAAGCCGCCATTGATGGTGCCTGAGCCGCCCAGTTCACTCACGGGCTGCCCTGGGCCAGAAACTTCCCCAGCTCCCTTTGCTCATAAATCATGCTAATCGTGGTCCAGCCATCTACCTCGGCCTCCTCTGACCCCGGCTGTCTATCTCCCCCTCCCGGTCCCTGGGCTCATTTTGTTCTGTTGTCCCTCAGCGAGACTGAGGCCCGGGTTGGAAAGGCCTCATTTCCCTGAGAACAAATGTAGCCCCAAAATAACAACGAATCTCAGGCGGCATATCAAACGCTTACTATCGTCCAGATGAACAGAGCCAAGTTCTTGACATTCATCGTTTCTTCTCCTTTTCCCAGCAAACTTCCCAAGAGCTGGGCGCTATCGTGATTCCTCTTTACACAGGAGGGAAGCTGAGGTCCAGAGAGGTTAGGAAACTCTGTTAGGATTGCACAGCTAATAAGTTGAAGAGCCAGGACTGCACATCAGGAAGGGCCCTCTCCACAGCCCCAGCTCAGTGACTCCACACCGTCCTGCTCCTCCCAGCGGAAGGTCCCTTTCTCTCCAGGTCAGTTGGCAGAGGCTTAGAGTGGACGGTGGGAACCAGAGTCCGCAGGTTCACGTGGCTTCACAAACTTTCCTGTCTGTGCTCCCCATCAGCAGA